AGGCTTAGGGGGCTTGGGAGGCTTAGGGGGCTTGGGAGGTTTAGATAGTTTGGTGGGTTTCGGTGCTTTTATTGCTTTGGGAGTCTTTTTCTTAGGGACTTTTTCAGCTGGTGGCGGTGGAGGTGGTGGAGGCGGCGATGGTGGTGGAGGAGGTGGTGGAGGCGTTTGTGGTGCAGGTGACGGTATTTCTTCTTTCTCCACAGGACTGATTTCCTCAACATTCACATTAGCACCCACTTCAGGTTTGTTGACTTTCAGAGCATTCTTCAGGAGAAGAGAATATAAGCATATTGTCAGACCCAAGTTTCATATTTTCACTGCTACAAAATAGGCAATCTTCAATGTTATTTTCAGAATTTTCCCAAAGATTTCCAAAAACGGTTCTACTGTTTTTGATTGACAGTATTCAGAGAGCAAGCCAGAGTTGCTTCTCCATCATGGTTTTATCCTATCTTGCTCCACTTACGACAACCATAAAAAACTGAGGATATAACCCATTCTACGATCATTTTCCTATAGTTTATTCCTAAATTGTTATTTCAGGATGGGACTGAGGATCAATACTGAACCCAAATGATATGGTCAGTCCATGTCCATGGTAACACAATTCCTACCACCCATCTAAATTAGCTACTTCCCAAATAGGCAATCGTCAAGCATGTTTTATGGAGATAATTATAGCAGGCTATTAACTGGAAAATAAAGAATCTGGTCTTGGGAAGAACTAATCTGTCCTTACTATTTCAGTTTGAAATTTCTATCATACATTGTTTTTATTTTGTTACATGTAATATTGCACTAAAGCAATGCTATTTTGGTATGTCTTTCAGAAAAAAATCTCCCTTATACACCAGTAGTTATAAAAATAAAATGTTGCATATTTTGGTTCTGAGCATTAATGTGGCAGGTTGCCTTTATTTTCTCTTGTATGTTGTATAGTTTCTATAGACTCTATAGCAAAATATAAAATTGAAAAAGTCTGACTTAAGCCTCACTTAAATATTGTGCAGAAGTGTTTAGGCAGTCATACACTACTTCAGAAATGTTTTTATTAGGAAAATATTATCACCTAATTATCATTTTAAATATAGAGAGTTGTTAAGTTGATTTTTCTATTATTATTTTTTGTTTTCAAAAATCCTAGTTTCTTCCATTCTTTTTTATTAAAAGAATGAAGACAGACCCTTATTTAAAATGCTAATCAGTTTAAAAAGAATACAATTCAAATTAATTTGCAAGAGAGATACAAAAGAGAATTTCATTTTCCTCCCAAGGTAAAATGGTCATTAAAAGAACAATAAACATTAACAGTGTATGATTAATTAAAATGAAATTATTTTCTACTTATGCTGCCATTTTAATAGTCATCAAAATTCATACTGTGTGCAAAACCCATAAAAGGCCAATTGCTTACTTTTCTTGCCTTGATTCCCTGCCCTCAGAAAGAAACAAGTGCTCATAGTACAACTTGGGTAAAATTCAATGATAGGAGATTAGTGAACAATAAAAGGAAGTACAAACGCTTATGGTGCACAGCTGAACTATAGAATTAGACAACTTTCTGGTATTAATAGCTATTAATATCAACATCTGGTAACAGAAGCAGTGTTCTTCAAGAGTTGCTTGTGGGCTTTCAACGAATCTTAAAAGTTGAATTCCCATTTTGACCTGATATTTTTTTTTTATTAAACTGTACTGAATCATATATTCCTTCAAAGTATGCTGAATTAGCTTTGCACATGCTAACTATTACAAGGATATTATGGGCTTTTTATTGGAAAAGTCATACGATCCCTACATGGATGAATAGCTAACCAAGCTATGAGGCGTGTTTCAATGACCAGAATAACTTTATGACTTAAATCTGATATAGAACTTAATTCAAAGTTGAAACCATTTCTAGACTACTATTTAACATGTGGATTTGTACCACATCCAAACTTTGGGTTTCTCTATGCTTGGAGTCTATACTTCAGTTTACCAGATTTTCAGATACAACAGACTTTTACTAATATGGATAGAATTTATTGTGGTTTACAATTTCACTTGATTTATACTATTTTGATCATGGTTACTGAAATTCATGCTTTGTTTAGAGCTTAACAGATAGGTTCAGTTACCCCTAATTAATTAATGATATTTCTGAAAACTAAAACCTCCATGACATTTGTAAATCCCTTGCTTATTTATTTGCATTTTATTATTTTACTCCTTTTTCTATTTCTTTTTCTTGTTTGTCCATGAATCTTCTTTATGTGCTTAATAAAACAAATACTGAAGGGGAAAAAAAAAGAAAATACAGATTATGAGCTGAGTTCCTTGGGGGCTTTGCACAGGTACACTGTAGCTGGTCATTGTAGAGAAGAATCTGGCTAGGCTGGGCTTGGATGGGTCTGATTAAGAGTAACTCACTCAGACGATTTCAGTGGCTGCCATCCTTTATAGTAACAGCTTCATCTGAAAGCTACCTGCAGGGCTGCACTATCAAAGATGACAAAGCATCTCTTGGACCTGGAGCTCCCTTACCTCTTGGAAAACCTTTCCTACACCAGCACTTATTCTTTATTGCCCTAATAAGCTGCCAAACGGAGTCCAAACTCAGCGTGGAAAATAAATTTAAGAGAAGCTTTATTTGCAGATAAAAGAAGACAGGTATCCAACAGAGGCTATATATAGGTGTATTAGATAAAGCCAGCCGTAATGAAATACACTTGTTACATTTAAAAACATAAATCATAGGTATGTGGCCTAAAATGAATAAGACTTTCTTTCACATTAAACTACAAATAGTGACTGTTGTATATTTCAGGAAAAGGAGTTCAACTGATCATACAGAGATCAGGAAATCATTTCTTAGAAATAAGCAGAACCTTTTCTGGTACTTTATGGGAAAATGCATGAGATATTTTATTCAATAAAGGATACTCACCTCACTTAATCTTATTTCTTTGGCAAGGTCCTTAATTAGCTGTGCTGGCTTAAAATTTTCTGGGAGTTCATCTTCATGGTCCACTAAAGCCTTGAATTGAATAAAGCAAAATACAAAAGGTTAAAAATGTGTCAAAAGTTCTTATAAGGTTACATTATTTAAAATCATGCAGGACTAACTTTATGGAGTAATTCAAACAAGACAAAAATTAGTAGTTTAGAATTATGAACAGGCATTCCTCCATTCACAGCAAGATCCTGCATATGGAAAGGGTCTAGAGCCTCTTATGGAAAGAAAGTCACATTTTTTATGTTTCCTTTCCCCCAAAATCCTCCATGCCATCTCCCACACTTTCCTGCCCTTCCTTCTGCCAGGTCCCCCTCCCAGAATTTCATGTGGGTTCCCTAACCATTATCTTCAGTGCTATGACTCAAGTATTTCTTTCAGTACATCTGAGTGACAATGTAAATCAGGATGCAAAACTGTTCTGATCTTATAGAAAGTAATTTCTGTTACCTAGAAAGTTGTTGATTTCCTTTTTTTCTGAATTGCCATCCAAACTTATACAGCAGAAAGATCCCTACCTGCTTTTTAGTCCAAGACCTGAAAGCACCGTTTAGAATTTTTGCTCCCTGGACTAAATGAGAAGGAGGCTGCTTTCCAGCTTTGTGCAGTCCTTGACAGAAAGAAAAAAAGAATTCCATTCAATGAATGTGACCAATTCTCTCTTGATGTAGATTTTAAAAATCATATATGTAGGATAGTAAGTGGGCTGTCAAAAAGTTTGTGAGTTGAACATCTAAGGCCATAAATCAGTAGCTCCAAAGCTTGAAGATTAGTTTTGAATCTGAGTTTGAACTTCCTTCCATTTGTATTTTGCTTAGCTACATTCTGGCTTGACTACAAATGTTAGATTTAATGACAATATTTTAACTGATAAAATCTGTGCCGACCAAAATGGGGATGCTGGTATTAAAAGACATAGAACTGAAGCTAACACTGCATTAGTAGAGAGAACATTCCCACTTCCTCTGTTCATTGTTGCTCCCTTTCTAGGTCCCTGCCTAGAAATTGGGCAAAAGAAATTTGCACGAGCAACATCTGGTTCATGCAAACATCCTTTATCTACTTCACCAATCTGAGATCCCACTTCAGTCTCCCCCAACTCACTGTGTTTCCCTACCGGGAAGTTGTATATTTTGAGAAACTCATCACTCAACTGGGCTTCTCATGCTCAGTACTGGACTTTCATAGTTTTAAAAGTAAAGCATTTACCCAAAACATTCGTTTCCACTCTGTGAGTTCTCACCTGTTGATTCATTATTATCTGTTCACATGCAAACATCTCAAAAGTGTATCAACAGACAAGTTAGGAAAGATTGCCATATAGACCTAAATCCAGTTTTTCCTAACCTCTTTGCCTACCAAAGTCCAATGTTTAGCATTTTGGGCAAATGCAATCAATATATGAATTTATGTTGATACAACCATTAAGAAAGGATGAAGACTTTCAATATTGTACTTTTTAAAAGAAAATCATAAGAAGATGAAAAGCACGTAACCAAAGTAAAGAATAGCTCCAAGAAGGCAAGAACCAAGAATAAAGGGACAAATAGGATGAATTTATGGAGGGGAAATTAGGAAGGTTACAAAGGTAAGACCTTTGGGAAGCTGATGTTAAAAAGTTATCTTCAGAAAACTATGGCCAAAAGCTTGGGGTGGAGACCAAGTAACAATCTTTCCAGTGCAGGAGTGGCCAACAAGTATCCTGCAAGCTACTCCAGTACTCAATTTGTAGCCTACCCAGTTCACTGGCAAAATAGGACAGCAAAACACTAGATTGGGGTGACACAATATTTTCTTCCAAAGTAAAGGTGTGAATATGAGCTGGAAACCTCCAACAGGCCACCCACTTGCTTTTCCTAAGTTTCCTCAAACAGACTTGGTGAAATTCACCCAGTGTGCCCCAAATGTTGGAGACACAATTTTTAGCCATTTGGGAAAGGGAGTGGGAGGGCAGAAATGGGGGATGTTTGCCCCATGATGGCTGTCATTATAACCCTTAAGAAAGCCCTAAAGGAAAAAAATGTGTGGAAAAAAATGGTATTCCCACTTCTGGTAATCTCATCATCATTCCAGTGACAGAACCACAGTTGATTAGAAGAACAAACTGTGAACCCCACCCTAACACAAATTTCCCACTCTTGATAAAATTCACCCAGTTGGTGAAATTACAACATTTGTTACCATAAGATATAGTGATAATATTAAAAGGCAATTAGGCAAATATACAGAGGATTCACCTGTTAATCTTTGCTTCTAGGTTGCTACAATTCCAGTCCTTTCTTCAAAAAGGGCTCATATTTAACTCAAATCACCTTCAGGATCAAGGTCAGTTTAGAGCTATTGTAGTATTGCAGTTAAGAGCTTGGACTTGAAACAGGGAAATATAGGTTGAAATATCTAATCCACCACAAAGATCAGTGGGGAACTCTGCACCAGTCTCAACCTGCTTCCTACTGTTGTTGTATGGGAATAAAATTTTGGGACCCCTCTGAGATCTTAGAGGAAAGTGAGATATGAATACATAAATAAATACATATTTAGGATTAATTCTAGTACCTTATTGGTGAAGTGTTTATTTCCCCCCAAAATGCATGTAGATTATTACAAAAAATGGGTAGGTATGGTTGCCCGCTTATAATGGAAAATAACGTCATCTTATAGAACAGGAACAGGAAAGACACTTTCGTTTACCTTTAAATGATTCTAGCAGGTGTCTTCCTGTGTACCAACATGCTGTTTCAAAGTTGGGAAACTGGGTTAAGCTGACAATTTTTAATCGCCTTTCAACTTCATATGCTCTAGGAGACACAGTAAAAAAAGTTTCAGTTGCAAAGATCACAAACAGTTTTCAAGTGTTCTCCCCACCCCCCAAAAAAAGATTTCTACCATCATTGCTCAGAATACACCTGGCATGGCTTTGATATCCAGGTGCTTATCTGGAATTGTCAGTTCCACAGAAATATACAGCATAATTTGAAACAAAGAGCATCTTACATGGCATTTGCTGATTTTAAGCGAACAGCTAAAAACAACAAACTCTGAACAAATGTATCACAAAATTATACAATGCATACAGTGTTAGACTTATAACATAGGAGTGCCACAATCCTATTCATGATTCCTCAGAATTAAGTCTGACTGAATGTAACTTATTCATTTAGTAACTGTAATGTAGCCCAAAGCACTTATTCTCCTGAAGCCTAACACAACAATTTACTCATACTTATTCAGAAGACTAGAATATTAATTGTGAACAAATACAAGAAAATTTTCAAACAGAGATTAGGATAGTGGAAATAAACATTTTCATTATACTGTAAGACTGCAGTTGCAGTAATTGTTGAACAATATTGCAAAAACCTTGTTTTCTTTTTAAAAAATCAAGAAAAATGTTCTAATGAACCTGTTGCTACTTTACATTGCACACACACACACACACACACACCGTTAAATGTGCAACACTTGACAAGGAAATCTGGGAAACTGCTACACACCTTCCAACTATGCTGAAAAAAATTATAAGTTGTGGCATGAGAGGCTGAGATGCACAGGGAATCTGCAAGGTCTCATTAAAAACTCTTCCACTTAGCCACCCACAGTATATCCCATTTATTATGGACCCTGTCCCCCTACCCTCCCAAGAGCATTTTTAAGAAGCTGAAAGGGCAGCAGCTTGGAAGAATGGGCTGGGAATCTACTTCCATATGCCAAGCGCACATCCCTAAAGCTGTAACCAACTCTCATCTTATTAAAAAAAGGAACATCGCATTTGTTTGTTTGTTTGTCACGTTTATATAGCTGCCCATCTCACACAAAGCAACTCTGGAAGGCGTACAAGAATTAAAATTAACCGCAGTTGTCTCACCTCATCTGCATTTCAACACTTAAGCTATGTAGAAAATGTCCTGCAAAGGCCAGGCAATCAACGGGTGTTAATGTTGCATAAATCCATCCTTTAAAAAAAATGGAAACATATAAGATTTTTGTTAAACATTTACTACAATCACCAATTTAACCACACTGTTCATCTTTTCAATTCACTGGGAACTCCTTTTGCCTAAGGGGGATTTTGGAAATTGGTATGTGCTTGCTATATGGGAAATACTTCTGCCTTTAGGACAGACAAAGCAGACTAAGTCCAAAGCTCTTGGCTAAGAAAGACAGTGGAACTTTGCTGGATGCAGGCCTCAGCCTCAAAGTTTCCATGTAATATGGAATTATTGCAGCAGAGAAGGTATGGGTGGGGGAAGGGTCAATTGGCATGACTGTGCCTTTAGATACTGGGAAAGAACCTTGAGAACACTGACTGAGCAGCCTGGGAACTGGCAGAGATGTACAACTGAGTATCAGCAGCATTCCGATGATACTTCACAGTGTGCCAACAGGTGACCTCACCCAGTAACTTCATGTTCTTGTTAAACAGAAGTGGGGAGAGAGTAGAGCATGAGGCACCCCACAGTGCAGGGATGTACAGATCGATTTCTCTCCTCCACTAACGCCAACTAGAACCAACCTCAAAGGAAGGAGGAGAACCGCCATAAAACTGTGTCCCACCCACACCCAACCCATAAGCTAATCTAGAAGGATATCATGATCCAGAAGGGCCAGGATGGATGCACCATCCCCATCCTTTCAAAGGTCATCAACAAGTGCAATTAATGCCATCTCAATACTATAACCCAGTCTAAAATCCTAAATGTCATGTGACATATCATCTCCTGGAGTTCCTCTAAAAACCAGGGAACCCTCCAGGATCTGCACACAGTCCATATAGGTGTAATCCGATCCAAAGCTGCCATCACCTTCTCATTCTAAGCAACAATCAGCCTTCATCAAATCTTGCAACAGGGCCCCCTTCTAAAACCCAATAAGGTCCATCAGGAGACTGGAGCAGACCAATCAAATAGGTCCTCCCTCCCTGTGGCAGGGAGCAGTTGCAGAGAAATCTAAGGGTATGGTCTGACCATAAGAAAGGACTGATCATATTGCACTGCCCTGAGACAAAAACCAGATCTAGCATATGACCCTCACTGAGTTGCGACCTCAATAACGTGGATCAAGTCCATGATTGCCAAGATAGCCATGAATTCCCAATCTGCTCCCAATTCCAGGCCCAAGAAACGCAAGCTGGTCCACTGCCAACCCAGCCATACATCAAGCAGCTCAAGAGGACGGATTGCAATGCAGTAGCTATCCCATCTGATCCTTAGTGCCTAATGTGACAAATAAGTTTTCAGATCTGGTTATCGGTGGGCAGCATCCCTAATAACTTAAAAGAAATGATGTATGATGAAAAACAGCCTTATTTGAGCATGTTAAAAGTGTATAGAGTCTAATAATAGGATCATAAATATGAGCTAAGTACACTTGCTCCACCTCTTCCCACCAACATTCTTTGTGCTGTGGAAACTGGACTGAGATGAGAGGAACTGACAAGAGAAAGCTGCTGGGAGAAAAGGAAAACCCCTCTATTCTCTCCTGTAGACATCCTTTGTTAGCTACCTTATCCTTTGCTAGACTTACCTCTGGCTTTCAACACCCAATTGAGGAGTTAATGATGAGAAATAGCCAGTGATGTATTTACAAGGTGACTCAGCAGGTGAGATAAGAGTTAAGTACTGAATTATCCATTCCACCCCCCATACATTATTGTTGTACACATGAAGATCTCTCCTTTTTAACATCTAGTCCAGGAATCTGCACCCCTCCCAGTGTTGCTGAACTAAAATTCTTAACAGCTGAGCAAATATGGCCAATTTGAAGGATTCTGGGAAATGTTGTTCAATAATGTCTAGAAGGCCAAAGGATGCCTATTCCTAATAGAGATCCACCCTCTGAAAAGTCCAAATCTGATTACTAAAAGCTAACATGGGGATGCTACTTATTTGTTACTTGGAATGCAGTCTCTCCTCAGATATATAAGCAGGTTTGGCATGCTGCAATGAAGGATTCACATTCTATAGAAATTAACTGTACATTTTATAACTTCATATTATCTCTCCTTTTCTATGACTTGCACTTCCAGAATTCAAACCAACAAACATGTTCAAAGCAAGCCTCTCATTTTTAATTGCAACTACTTCCTTACCTGATGGAATGAAGAGCGTTTGTCCTTGTTTAACTGTGCATTTGTAACATTTATCCACTTGATCAGCAAAAAACATCTCACTGTGATTTGCTGCTGACTGCCAACGCTCATAGAGGGAGATGTTTGCAGAGGTTGGTTTGATGAGATAAAATATTTTTTCTCCCTGAAACCAAAAAAAAAAAAAAAAAATTGTTTTAGGTCAATTCAGATTCAGTTTCTGTCCTGTCAGCATTTGAAGAATGGAATCATGGATGGTAGGCTTTTTGATCACTTGGACCCAAGCCCTAGAATTTTTTTCTCTTAAAAAATTCTGCTTTGGTCCACTGAACTCTGTTTGCGACTGATGAGATTTCATGGGTTTTTAAAATGCCTTTTAGTTTTGCTTTTTTTTTTTTTGGTCAAGGATCACATTCCCTCAGGCGTAATCTGTTAGATTGCATACTGTAGTAGAGAACCAAGGATTGGAATGACCTGGAGCCCCAAAAGACTGATCTTTCTCCAATATTCCCTTTCCCTTTTGTTTCAGCAACAGATGGCAAGCAATAGAAAGCAAATTCTTATCAGTGGTTTTCCCTGATATATATCAGTTCTAGTTGTCTACTGATAAACAGTAGCTTAAGCTTCTTCTATGGTAATGGTTTTTACCCAGCAAAAAGCAGCTGGAAGATAAATTACAATATATCCAGAACAAAGCAACTAAGGGGTTGGAAGGAAAACGCTATGAGGAACAGCTGGGGTGTTGGCTATGAGTTTAGCTTGGAGAAATTAGGTTGTACAGAAACATGATAGCTGTCTTCAAGTACCTGAAGGGTCATTGTGTAGAAAACAGGACAGAATTTTCAGAGTTGTTCCAGAAAACAGACTAAGGAATAGAAAGTTTAAATCACAAGGAAATAGTTTCAGTTGGACATCAAAAAAAAATTCCTAATGGTAAGAGTGGTTCAGCAATGGAACTAACTGCTTCTGGAGGTGATCAGCCCTGCTGTGGTCGACGTGTTTAAACTGAAGTTGGGTGGCCATTTGTCAAGGATGCTGTAATGGTGAATTCCTGCACTGGATGTTGGGTTCAATAAGATAATATCCCATGTCCCTTCCAACACTTACATTTTATGATTCAATAGAAAAAATCATCAATATAACACAAAAAATACATTTATGAATTGGTGGAGATAATTTTATTAAAAATTGAATTATTAATTATCTTGTCCAAGCAAAATATAATGCTAAAATGAAATTATGATACAGGAAGGGAATAACATGTAACCATTTTATTTTATTATATTTGCACTGCTCTGCAATAGTTAGGTACAGTTCATGGTGAATCTATATGGCTTTGACTAATAAGTCTTATAATATATTTTTAAGATGACTGAGACCGAAAGGGAACTTTATTTCCCTTTTTATCATTTTGTTAGTTCTTTCTTTTCAGCCCCAATTGCAGTTTTTTGACCCATCACAAAACATGTATAACTGCACATTAGAATTAGCCATGCTTTAGATATTTAAACAATGTAAGTTATTTCTCCATGCTGCCCCCCTCCTTATATTGGGTAAATTTCTGGATGATCCTATCAACAAGAGCACTGCCAGCACTGCATGTCAACATCTGCTGATTCTCAAATTTCTGTTATTTCTACCATCAAAAATTGCAAACTCCAAAGTTTAATGTGAAATTGCTACACTTTGCAATGACTCATTATTAACAGGAATAAAGCATCTTACTTTTAAGATGTGATACCAGGCGGAGGCTCCACCAGAGTCAATATGGAAATCTGTGTAGCTGTCCTTCACACAAATCAGACAGTATTTGGTCACTTTTGGTTTTGCCAGCAAAGCATCATCAGGCCAATAGTTTTCCACCCAAGAGAGTTTTTTCACTATTTCAGGAGACTCTACAAAACTGGACATTCTGTTTAAAACATGAAAGAAAAATTAAAGCATCTGAACTCAATTAAAGGACATTGAGAGAGTTTGTCTTGATCAGACTCCTGTTTCTGAGAAAATGGCAAGATCAGGAAGAGGCCTCCCTGCCAGGAATGCATTCCCTCTGGAGCTGTATTTGGCCCCTTTCCCTCTGCTTATAGATGAGCTGTTAAGGCACATCTCTTCCACCAAGCGTTTAACGGTTTATTAATTTTAACATTAACATTAATATTTATTGATGGGTTTCAAAAACATTGTGCATTTTGCATCTGAATAACAACTAAGCACCTGCAGGAGAAAAGCAAGCAAGAAATCCACTGAGTTAAAATGGTGTACCAAAACTCTTGAGAGAGCTTATACTGGATCTTGTGGTTTACAACAGTCAATTGTAAATGCTGTTGCTTATGTAGCCGAAACAGTGCCACCCAAACCCAAACAGGGCTATTTGAGGAGGTAGAATGGGAAGGAGGGAGAGGGAAGACTTAGGGAGGACCCAGAAATGCATTCCAAGGAAGTCTGGTTTTCTGTTTTGTGGGATACAAAAGGGAAATTCAGGAGAGTAGGTCAAATACAATGGGGCAGCCAGAATCTTATTCATTTGTACATACCAACAGGAAACTACATTCTACGAGCATAGTACTCATGTAAACAAACTAATATTATCTATGCAGGAAAAGGAGCTAATCAGTGAGCTTGGGGAATCCACCAGGTTGTTGAAGGACAGTACTTATTTTTGTTTTTAGAAAAAAATTTTTAAGGGGGGCGGGAGTGAGTATGCTCAGTTTCAGAGGCATGCTTATGAGCTATTCACTATTAGAAAAGTAAGGGTAGAAGGAAATGCAACAAACAGTCAAGCATCCTAAAGAAGAGCACTCTACAGTGAAAGTTTTCCTTGCAGGTCTCATTTTTATTCTACTTAAATTAAATATACAGTTTCATAGTCTTCTATGCTTTTAATTTGTTTGCATTTTGTATTTTAGTGTATTGTAAACCTCCTTGAAATGTACAATAATGGAAGGCAGTGCATGAATATATTAAGTATAAATAAATCTGACAGCCATCTTTTACTACAACAATCTTTTCTAAAGAAATCAGAAATTATATCCTAAATAAAAACTGTTTTATCAAAAGGTTTATTATCCAAAATGCAGAAATAATTGAAAGGGCAAACAAACACCACTTTCTGAATGCTTATTTATTCAAAGGCTAGAAAACAATTAAACGGAGGTAGAATTGTAATTTTACTTTTTAAATGTCTCTTTGTGTAAGATCTTAAGTATAAGATGCTCTCACTGTAAACCTATTTTTTATTTATCCTCCATGTCAAGATAGAGCTTGAGAGCTTTTTAAAATGTTGTACTTTTTGCTGAAAAAAATATTTGCTAACCAATTATTAAATTAGTAGTATATGAGGACACTGTAACATGAGCAATTCACAGCAATTATGCCTTCCCTTACAATTGTTTCTGAAGACTGAAAAAAATCTTTAAAGAACCTACTGAAAAATACCTATAATCATACTGCTTTGAAAAATTATTTTTGATTATTTGTGTGCAGGAAAGGGGGTTACATTATTAAAACAATAAATAATAGAGAGATATGGACACTGCAAAATAAATGATTTTGCAATCACCCTTCAGCCTTTCTGTAATCTGCATTAATTATCACTGCAGTCTCTTGTCTAAGAAAATGGAATTCTTTCTCCAGCAATCTTTTTTGTTTGTTTTTGACCAGCTCTTCATTTTCTGTTTATAAAACAGCATTCTCCAGCCCATAGATTACTCAGAATGCCTACCAAAAAAAAGTTAGATGATGTAGTTCAGCAATTCATCAATTTGCTATTTGCACATAAAACAAAACTTAAGTGGAAATGCAGATTTGAATAATTTGTCTGGAAACAGTATCTTAGTCTATAGAGTAAGGCCAAACTACTGATTCCATCATTCCACAGGATATAGATGTTATTACTCTCAAAAGTATTCTAAATATGATGGGAAAAAGAAGATCTTTAGAATCTGTGGCTTCATGTACTATCTCACCTTGTATCTGAAAACTCCAAGTTAGTTACATTGAGGACTCTTTTTCGATTTGTGCTATAATAGTAATCAACAAATTCTTTTAGCTTCATCTTGCAGTCCTTCTGTTTAGTGACATCTGTAACATCCACACTCCTTTCTGGTCCTAAAAAAAAAGTCATAAGAAAAAGGGAATGTAAACATGGATACAGTGCAAGTTGTAAGCCAAGGTATAATTCACAAAGGTTCATTTCATGTGACCATGAAAATGTACACATGCAAAGTTTGCTCTTCAGTACAAAAACAACTGGACATGCAAAAGGTGATTAAGAAATCGGACACCAGTTTCCTATTTTGAAAATTTAGAAGGTGAAATATCTTGCCTGGCACACCCAAGCTCATGGTTATGTCTATGGTTACTATGTCTGTCACTTTCAATTTGAAGACCCCCCCAAAAGTTTGAAATGGCTGGGAGCACAAACATCTACCTGTCCTTAAGTCAACTGTGTCTTTTCCCAGGATTGTGTGGGAGCTGCAAAGAGCAGCTGGGGGATCCTGGGAAAAGGAACAACTGTTTTAAGGTGCTATGTTCATGCCACCACAACCTGTTCTATTATGCTGGTTCAGAATATATTTTCCTGATTGATAATTATTTTCTAGAGAGTTTTTTTTTCTTCATTTTTCTAAGTTCAAGGCCCATATAAAAGTGAAATGCACGTGACTTCTACTTTTTAAGTAAAATATTTTGGAGTAGATTAGTGGCATTTGCGTCCCTCTCACCTTCCCAATTAATGTTGTAAAAACAAATACTGATTGTAAAATTCATTCGCCTGTGTATCTAAATCAGGGTTTTCCAAACTATAAGGTGGACCTCCCTTGGGGAGTTGCAGGCAGAGTCCAGGGGAGGTATGAAGAACTTTTTAGTTGTACATTGTTACGATAAATCCATCTTTCCCAAAGTTTCATTGTATGGTTTTCATTGTTCATTTGTGTTCATTTTAGTGTTTGGATTTTTACAGGAGGTGAGTGCATGAAGATTACACTAAAGGGACGTGTGATGGGAAAAAGTTTAGGAACCCCTAATCTAAATGTTTAATACATCCTCTGAATCCAAGGACAAAGGATCAAGATCATGGCTCTATTTTCAAAATAATCTAGGATAGAGATTTGTATTCTTAACACTTTTACTAATCTTTTCATTGTTAACGGGTTTTACCATCAATTTTATTATAAGTTTTTTTAGTTTTTATTATTATTATTTTTTTTGGATTTGACTTTTTAAAATTTTGTTTGCTGTCTTGAATACTTGCCAGAGTAGAACAGTGGAGTATAAAATATAAAATAAATAAATGCATGTTGTTGTTTAGTCATTAAGTCGTGTCCGACTCTTCGTGACCCCATGAACCATATTG